TAGTTCCCTTATTGTACGTTGGGGAAACGGAAGCCCAGTGAGGAGAGAGGACACGCAGAGTTAGGGGTCCCCAAGCCCAGGTCTCTAACCCCAAAGCATTCTTTCCACTATGAGTCTAGGTCCCCCCTCCCCACACACACCCAGCAACACTGGAGCCTGGACGCTTGCAACCCCCCAAAGCCTGGCACAGTTGTGGGCCTGGAGAAGAGGACCTTCTCTATTGACACTAGGCTTCTGCCCTGTCCCCACAAATGGTCAGATTGCTAGAAGTCATTTATGCTCTCTCCATTGTCCCATTTAATTCCCACAACAATCCCATGGGACTGGAATTACTGCTGCTTTTTACAGAGGGGGGAAAGGAGGCTCAGAGAGGGGAAGGGACTTGCCCAGAGTCACACAGCTCAAAAGCAGCAGAGCCAGCAACCTGACTTCCCGCCCTGTGCCTGACCTGAGACACCAGGTGACACACCTCACATAACCTTGAATATTCTGGCCCCTGACTGACCCTGTGCCTCTGAAGTCAGGGGCTGTGGACAGGAAGGTTCAGCAGGGACAGAAACCGAACCGGGGTAGGGAGCTGGTGGATGGGGGAAGGACCCTGGGAAGGAAACCTCGGAGATTGCTTTCACCTGTAACCTGCTCTGCCCCACCCAGCAATGGAAAATGTGTGTCAGAGGAAGCTGCTGGCTGGGACGGGCTAGGTGTGCGTGGGTGACAGCGTGTGGAGGGGCACCCTGGGGGGCAGGATGTGCTGGGGTGGGGGGCAAGGTCAGGGGTGCTGGAGCAGGGTTCAGGTTCTGCCTTTTCCTCTCTGGTTCTCACTTTCTTTCTTATGCTCTCAGAACAAATGGTAAAACTTTCACTTCCAGAAGGATGGGAGTCTGTCCTACGAAAGCTGTCCCCAAGCTCTACCTCCTAGGTCCCCTTGGCCTCTGCCGATTCTCTGCTCAATAGTTCATTCGACAAGCATTTATGGAGCGCCCGCTGTGTGCCCAGATGCGGGGATGCTGGATCGCTTCTTCCCCACCTGGGGGGGTGCGCCGTCTGGTGGAGAGAGAGACGCGATGAGACAGCTACAAGGCCTGGACGGCACGGTCCAGCAGGGGTCAGGGGGTTGTCCCCGAGGCTCTCTGGAGGACAGCACACCAAGTATAAGGGAGGTGGCAGTCACTGTGTGCCTAGCACAAGCCAGATGGGAGGCAGAGCCCTAAGGCTTTCATAGCTTCGCATCCCCAACCCCGTGAGACAGGAACTGCTGGTGTTCCCATCTTACAGGTGAGGAGGCTGAAGCATCGAGGTCAGAGCTTGGTCTCACTGCTAGATGCTTAGGAAAGGGCCGAGCCAGGACTGGAAACCAGGCGGCGGCTCTTACCTGCTCCTCTGAGGGAAGGGGAGAGGGAACAGGTGTTGGCGGCAGGAGGTGGAGCGAGCAGCCAGAGGACAGGCCCGAAGAGGAGCCGGTGTGTTGGCACCGAGGGGCGGGAGGTGCTGAGTGGGGAAGCCCAGGAGTGGCCAGAGCCCAGGCAGGAAGTCCCTCAAAGAACTGCCCTGGGCACCAGGGAGCTGTGGACACATTTTGAGCAAAGGAGTGACAGGGACATGTTTGACCTAGAAAGGTGACCTCCTTTAAAGTCGCGATCTGCGGGGCCCTCGGTAGGCAAGAGTTAAATGTGACTGATTTCAATGTTTTAGTTTTCTAGGCTACTATAACAAAGCACCACAAACCAGGCGGCTTAAGAGAACAGAAGCTTATTCTGTCCCTGTTCTGGAAGTTAGAGGGTTGAAATCGAGGTGTCATCAGGGCCATGTTGTTTGAGACTCTGGGCAGAAACTTTTCTGGCCTCTTCCTAGCTTCTGTCAGTCCTTGGCGCTCTTGGTTTTCAGCCGCATCACTCTGGCCTCATGCGTTCTCCCCGTGGGTCTCTCTCCTCTTCTTATAAGGACACCAGTCATATTGGATGAAGGGCCCATCCGACGCCAGTATGACCTCATCTTAACTAATTATATCTGCAACAAGCTTATGCCCAGATAAGGCCACATTCTGAGTGCTGGGATTAGGGCTTCAACATAGCTTTTTTGGGGACATAATTCAACCTGTAGGATGTCATTCAAGTGTTTCTCATATAGATAAGTCTGGAATCTGATAAAATCCTATACAGATTGCATGACCTAGTGTGAGATTCAGAGAAAATGACCTCGGCATATTTGTCCCCCACACTAATACTTTGCCCTAGTGGGTACAAAATAAATGTTTGAGAAATACTTGACTTGTGGCCCCCTAAGGCCCTCAGGTCTTTCCTTAACAAGTTAGAGAAATAGAATAAAAGTCCCCAGAGAACAAAAGCTGCCCTCTGTCCTGGATTCCTGGCTGGCAGCTGCTCCCCTGACCTGGGCACCTTCTTACCCTCCTGCCTGGAGCATAGCCAGTCATGAGAAGGATAGAGAAGAGAGGCCTCAGCTCCCTTCCTCCCTGGATTAAGCAGAACGCACTGTTTTCAGTCTTCTCCCTTGCTTCCCTATCCAAACAGGTTCAGACTGCTTCATTCAGAAAAATGTCCATGCTCCACCCCTGCCTACTCCACCTGGTTCAGGCCTTTATCTTTACCACTGGGACTATTGCCCTCACCTCCAAACTGATTTCCCTGCCACTGGCAGCCAATTGGGTCATTGTAAACATGAATCTGATGACTTCTTTTCCTGCCATAAAACCTTCAATAGCTCCCTATTGCTTTCAGAATAAAGTCCAGATTCCTTAGCCGGCCATTTCAGGCCTTGTACAAGTTGGTCTCTGGGTAGCTACCCAGCCTTGTCTTTCACTATTTCCCTACGCGTGCTCCATCCTGTAGGCAACAGAGTTTCCATTTAAAAGAGACCAGAGTGGTACATTCTGGTTGGAAAGGTTCGCAGTTGTCTCTATAAGCAGGAACACCTGAGCGTGGCTGGCTGTGCTTTCTTCTTTTCTGCCTCCGTTCCTTGGCATATGCTGTTCCCTCCACATGGAACGCTCTCTCTACTTTTTCAACTGCAGGCTCAAAGGACATATTCCGCCTGATCACGTAACCAAAGGGTCCACCCCCTTCTCCAAATAAACTTCCTTATGAAGCTTCTTCCAGGCCACCTTGTGTTCACCAGGGAATGTACCTCCCTTTCCTTAGAGCTGGGTTCTAGCCCCAGGCCAGCAGCTGAATGGCAGGAAGAACAGGCAAGAAAACTATCAGACTAGAAACGTGGCTGGTAATACACTGCCAGTGTCTCGCTGCGTGACCTTGGGCAAGTTACTTTTCCTCCGTGGGCCTCTCTGTAGATGGGATATGAGGAAAGACCTCCAAGCAAGATGAAAGCCAAGTTTCTCCCTCCACCCTAGGTCTGGCCAGACCTTGGTCCAGTAAACAAGAGCTTCTGGGGTCCTTTATTATGTATTAATTTGCAAATATTTGCATGTGTGCTATAAGAGGCACCGACTACATTTCATTCATAGAAAGAATTGAGACTGTCATGTAATTGATGTCCAGGGATGGAAAAAAACCAGTGTCTCACGGTTCCATTTAAATCTTAGCAGACAGAGGTCTTTAGTAATTAACCCTCCAACCCCCCTCTTTTAGAAATGAGTAATTTAGGCTCAGAGAGGGAAAGTGACAAGGCCAAGGTCGGTCACCAGAGGAGCACTTCCTCCCAGGCTTCCACTCTCTGCCAGGAGTGCCTGGAGCACCTCACCTCTCTCCGTGCAGGATGGAAGAAGATACAAGGAGGGGGCTCAGTTTTCTTATGAGGCCCTTCTTTGCACCCCAGAATAACAAAGCCTGCTGGCTTGGCAGCCTCCGCAACCACTACAGGAAACCAAAGTGTAGTCGAAAGGCAGATGGGAGTGGAAAATCCTCTCAGAGATGCTAGATCGTTGCTTTCACCTGTTCTAAAAATAACCTGGTTTATTAGAGATTGATAGATGACAAGATAAGCCACAAGTTATTCCACTGAGGCTGGGGGGGGGAGTGTCTGAACCAGGCGGGCCCTGGGAGCTGCTGCTGCTAGTGGATGAGCTGGCTGGCCCCCTGGAACTCAGTATTTGGCCAACGGCAAGAGAACTAAGACAAACCTGGGTGCTGCCTTCAAGGGGTTTTAGTCCACAGAGCGGGAGACAGATAACAAAAGTCAACAAAATAATAGCAAATTGGGATCAAGGCTATGAGGGAAACAAGCGAGCGTAAGACACAGACTGGGGGGCAGACCAGGCTGAGCAGGGGGGCCCCTGGGAGGAGGCAACATTTAAACTGAGACGGGGAGAGGGAGAAGAAGCCAGTCCCGCAAAGGGGAGGGCAGGGCATCTAGGGAGACAGCCCCGCACGCACTGGGGCCAGCTGAGGAGGAGGGAGCCGG